CCTGTTGGGGGCTTCTTGGGGGCCCCTTTGGTCCTCGTGTGGGCTTCTAGGGTCTTCTTCGGCTTTCTGGGCGCGTCGTGGGGTTTTTGGGGAGCTCTCTTGGGCCGTCTCAGCGCTATCTTGGGCCGTTGTGTAACTTCCTTGGGCCGTTTGGGGGCCTCCTGGAGGCTTTCCAGGCGTTTCACCCCCCAGGCGTTTGCCACGTGGTGAGTACAGTGGAATCGTTTCAGTTTCTGGCCCGCAGGCTTTGCCGCGTGCCGAGTAGAGGGACGAGGGAGGAGGGAAGAGGAGAGAGGAACGAGGAGGGAGGGGGGGGACTAGGGAGGAGGCAGGAGGGAGAAGGGCGGAGGGAGCATGAGGAGGAGGTGAGAGGAGGGAGGGAGGAGGGAGGCAGGCGGGAGGAGGCAGGAGGGAGGAGGGAGGAGAAGGGAGAGGAGGCAAGACGCAGGAGGAGCAATGAGGAGGGAGGAGTGATGAGAGGAGACTAGGAGGCCTGGCAGGAAGAGCGAGGAGGTGGAGGAGAAGCGAGGAGGGGACCCGAAAAGTCGCATCGGCAGAACTCTCACCCTTGGAAAAAGTCATCTAGAAGAAATCGCCTGGAAGACAAGGCCCGAAAGAAGGCGCCCCAAAAAAACATCACCATCGGAAAAAGTCGCCCGGAAGGAAGAACTCTTCCGGAGGAAGTCGCCCCAAAAGAACTCATCATCGGAAAAACCGTCTGAAAAAACTGTTCCGGAAGAAATCGCCCGGAAAAGGACGACTCGGAAGAAGACACATTCGGAAGAACTCGCCCGGAGAATCTTCTCTGGAAGAAATCGTCCGGAGAAAATCGCTTCGGCTGAAGTCGTTCGGAAAAAAACGTCCAGAAGAAGTCGCCCGGAAGAAATGGTCCGGAAAAGTCCGCCGGAAGAAATCGTTCGGATGAAGTCGTCCGGAAGAAATCGTCCGGAAGAAGTCGTCGCAGAAGGAGCCGTGCTAGGAAGAGACCATTCTACGAAGAGGCCATCGCGGAGCAAATCGAGGGAGAAGGAGGAGGCCAAGGAGTAGGAGGAGGTGGAGGATGAACGACGATCTAGAAGAGAAATGTTCGGACGAAGTTGCTCGGAAGAAATCGTTCGGAAGACATCGTCCGGAAAATGTCGTCCGGAAAGAGTGGTTCGGAAGTCGTCCGGAAGAAATCGTCGCGGAAGAAGTCGCCCGGCAGAGGACGACTCGGAAGAAGACACATTCGGAAGAACTCGCCAGGGGAATCTTCTCTGGAAGAAATCGTCCGGAGAAAATCGTTTCGGCGGAAGTCGTTCGGAAAAAATCGTCCGGACAAAATGGTCCGGAGGAAGTCGTCTGGAAGAAGTCGTCCGGAAGAAATCGTTCGGAAGAAATCGTCCGGAAGAAGTCGTCGCAGAAGGAGCCGTGCTAGGAAGAGACCGTTCTACGAAGAGACCATCGCGGAGCAAATCGAGGGAGAAGGAGGAGGAGGCCAAGGAGTAGGAGGAGGTGGAGGATGAGCGACGAGGCAGGGGAGAAATGTTCGGAGGAAGTCGCAGGAAAGAGATCGTTCGGAAGAAATCGTCTGGAAGATGTCGTCCGGAAGAAGTGGTTCGGAAGAAAAGGTTCGGAAGAAGTCGTCCCGATAAAACGGTCCGGAAAAAGTCGTTCGGAAGATGTCGGCACGGAAGAAACAGTAGGCTTTCCTCCTGAGCTGTCTAGGTGCCTCCTGGAGCGCTCTTGGAGGTCTCTTGGGCCCTCTTGGGGCGCTCTTGGGCCTTCTACGGGGCCCTCTGGGGCGTCTTTTGGGCATTCCTGGGGCCGTTCGAAAGTCCTCCGGGAACGATTCAAGACGATGTCGATTCGGAGTCCACTCCGGGGCCCACGATTGTTTGAGGATGTCTCGAGCGAAACGGCCATTCATCAGAAACCTGATCGGACAAGAACGGGAAGCGCCGATTTTGTCCAGTGGGCTCGCAGGGTGGACAAGAAGAGAAGGAGAATGGCGACGACGAGGCGGCGAATGTCGAGAAAGGCAGCGTGGATGACGGGGAGGGCAGCGAAGTGGGCAGAAGGACAACGAGTAGGAAGACAAGCGTGAGGACGAGGAAGGATGGAGGAGGACAAGTAGGAGGAACGAAGCGGAGGAGGAGGAGGAGGAGGAGAAGAATAAGAAGAATAACCATACTAATAATAATAATAATAAGAATAATAATACTCATAATCATAATAATAAAAATAATGCTAATAATACTAGTATGAATAATAATAATAATGATTATCCTGGCGAAGGACCCAACCATATGCAGTTGTGGGTACCTCAATTGTGAACATCTTCTTCGGTGAAACTCCCTATGGGGCCACGGAGCGCTGCACTGGCAGTGAAAATGCCAAATTCGGCTTCCAGGACGCACGCTGACGGTCCCACTGGAGGCTTCGGTGGAACTCCCTATGGGGCCACGAAACGCTGTACTGGGTTGGTGAAAATGCCAAATTGGGTTTCCGGGACGCATGCGGACGGTCCCACTGGGGGCTTCGGTGGACTAGCTCACTAACGGGCCACGAAACGCTGTACTGGGTGGGTGAAAATGCCAAATTGGGCTTCCGGGACGCATGCGGACGGTCCCACTGGGGGGCTTCCGTGGAGCTCATGAAGGGGCCACGAAACGCTGTATTGGGTTGGTAAAAATGCCACGTTGGGTTTTCGGGACGCATGCGGATGGTGGCACTGGGGCCTTCGGTGGAGTTACGGGGCCACGAAATTCTGGAATGGAGGGTGAAAATGCTACAATGGGTGTTTCGATACGCTTGCGGACGGTCCCATTGGGGCCTTCGGTGGAGCTCCCTGTGGGGCCACGAAACGCTGCACTGGGTGGGTGAAAATGCCACATTGGGTGCGCGGGACGCATGCGGACGGTGGCACTGGGGCCTTCGGTGGAGCTCCCTGTGGGGCCACGAAACGCTGTAATGGGTGGGTGAAAATGCCAAATTGGGTGTTTCAGGATGCACTCGGACGGTCCCACTGGGAGCTTCGGTGGAGCTCCCTATGTGGCCACGAAGCGCTGTACTGAGTGGGGGGACGCATGTGGACGGTAGCACTGTGACCTTCGGTCGGGCTTCCTATGGGGCCACGAAACGCTGTACTGAGTGGGGGGACGCATGTGGACGGTGGCACTGGGCCCTTCGGTGGAGCTCCCTATGGGGCCACGAAGCGCTGTACTGAGTGGGCGGGACGCATGTGGACGGTGGTACTGGGGCCTTCGGTGGAGCTCCCCATGGGGCCACGAAGCGCTGTACTGAGTGGGGGGGACGCAAGTGGACGGTGGCACTGGAGCCTTCGGTGGAGCTCCCTATGGGGCCACGCAGCGTACTGAGGGGGGGGCGCATGTGGACGGACTGGGGCCTTCGGTGGAGCTCCCTATGGGGCCACGAAGCGCTGTACTGAGTGGGGGACGCATGTGGACGGTGGCACTGGGGCCTTCGGTGGAGCTCCCTATGGGGCCACGAAGCGCTGTACTGAGTGGGGGGGACGCATGTGGACGGTGGCACTGGGGCCTTCGGTGGAGCTCCCTATGGGGCCACGAAGCGCTGTACTGAGTGGGGGGACGCATGTGGACGGTGGCACTGGGGCCTTCGGTGGAGCTCCCTATGGGGCCACGAAACGCTGTACTGAGTGGGGGGACGCATGTGGACGGTGGCACTGGGGCCTTCGGTGGAGCTCCCTATGGGGCCACGAAGCGCTGTACTGAGTGGGGGGGACGCATGCGGACGGTGGCACTGGGGCCTTCGGTGGAGCTTCCTATGGGGCCACGAAGCGCTGTACTGAGTGGGAGGACGCATGTGGACGGTGGCACTGGGGCCTTCGGTGGAGCTCCCTATGGGGCCACGCAGCGCTGTACTGAGTGGGGGGACGCATGTGGACCGGTGGCACTGGGGCCTTCGGTGGAGCTCCCTATGGGGCCACGAAACGCTGTACTGAGTTGGGGGGACGCATGTGGACGATGGCACTGGGGCCTTCGGTGGAGCTCCCTATGGGGCCACGAAGCGCTGTACTGAGTGGGGGGGACGCATGTGGACGGCGGCACTGGGGCCTTCGGTGGAGCTCCCCATGGGGCTACGAGACGCTGTACTGGGCGGGTGAAACGCAGGGAAGAGGGGGAGGAGGAAGGAGGAGGGGGAGGAGGAGAGAGGAGAGGAGAGGAGAGGAGGAGAACGCGGTGACCGTTTCTTCAAAACGAGGGCCTAACAACACAGGTTGGTTGGGACTACGAAGAAGAGTAATAAACATTCACTGCGTGAAGCTCCCCATCTGTGCATCTATTTGTTCGGACCTGTCCGCCGTGAGCGCCTGGGCGCAAGAGTTGTCGAATATAAGCGGGCTTGAGTTGTGAAGGTCTGGTCATGAATGTAGCTGCGAATGAAATTGGAGTGTGAATGAGTCTCAGTAGTACGAGCGCGTCTCTGCGCATGAGGGTGGTGCCTCCTGGGGCCTCCTAAAACCTCCTAGGGCTTTCTGAGGCCTCCAGGAGCCTCTTGGGGCCTCATGGGGCCTCTTGGGGCTTCGAGTGGTCTCCTGGGGCCTCCTGGAGCATTGCGTGGACCCCTTGGGTCTCCTGGAGCCTCCTGGGAACTCCTGGGGAGGATTCGGGCCCCAGGAGAGGCCCAATATATAGGAACAGACGTACATAAAACATTGCGGATTGGAGCCACATTTTTTTTTGTACACACCAGGCAGCTCGTGCAGCACGAGCCGATCCCGCCGCCAAGAAGGCGAGAGCCTCCACCTCGAGTCCGCCGCCTCGAGGAAGAGGGAGCCCTGCCCGCCGCCGACCACGAAGGCGAGGTCGAGGGAGGAGGGCGCGCGCCGCGGCCGCCCGCGCCAAGGGCGGGCCCGCCGCCGCCGCGAGCCAGCGAAGCCGCCGAGCGCCTTGGGCGCGGCAGCCACCGCGGCGCGCCCCACCGCCGAAGGGTAGGGCGGAGCGGGGCCTAGACCCCCCGAAGGGGCGCCCCCCCCGCTAGCGGGGCCCGCGCCCCCGCCTGCACCCGGCCCCGGAGCCCCCAGCAGCCGCTCCAGAGTGGCGCGCCGCCGCGACGAGCGCGCGCCCCTCCTCCGTGGCCGTGATCCGCTCCGCCTCGGGCTCGAGGGCGCCGATCAACGCCAGCAGCTCCGCGCGGCCAGCGGGCAAGCGGCCCGAGCCGAGCCCCAGGCGCTGGAAGGCCGAGTGCAGGCGGGCCTTGAGCTCCGCCACCGACTCCTCGGCACCGCCAGCACCAGCGCCAGCCGCGGGCGCCGCGACGATCGCCACCGAGGCGGCCCGACGAACGTCGTCCGCCCACTCGTCGTCGTCCAGGTCGGACGCACTTGCGGCAGCCTCCGCCCCCAAGCCAGGCCAAGGGCCCGCACCTGCGGCAGCGGCAGCATCGCCAGCGTCCGCGCCACGGACGACGTCGATGTCCATGACCTCGCCAGCGGCGGCGGCGGGCGCGGGAGCACCCGCCGCCTTCCGCGCTGCGCGGCGCGCACGGCGCCGCCGACGCCGCGCGGCACCAGCCGCGGGGTCGGCGCCGCCACCAGCGCCAGGAGGTCCGTCAGCAGGATGCTCGCCAGCGGCGGAGTCGCGCGCGGCGGCCGCAGGCGTCTCGGAGCACCCGAAGAGTGCTGCCGAGACCGCCGAGCGGGCCACCGCCGCGACAGTGCGCCGCGGCGCATTCGCAGCGACCGCCCCGCGCACAGCCGCCTCGACGAGGGCGGCCGCCAGCGCGGGGGCGGGAGCCCCTCTAGCCCACCGCGCGGCGGCCATCGCAGGGACGGCGGGCCGCGCTCCAGGCATGCGAACGCTTGAGCCAAAATGGCTTGAGCCAAAATGGCTTGAGCCAAAATGGCTACGGAGGGATTGGAGCCACACAAAGGCAGCCCGCGCAGCACGAACCGATCCTGCCGCCACGAAGGCGAGGGAGACTTACGGCCTACCGCCACGTCAAGTCAGAGAAATCGTCGGCCGATTCACTAACCTCGAGCGCTGGGGTGAGGGCCTGCTCAGGAGGATTAAGCAGAGGGTCGAGCCAAGCTTCGAAGACCACCATACGAGCAATCCACCAGGGTGCCGCCTTGCGCCCACGGTAGCAGAGCTCGAGCAGGAGGACGTCCGAGAAGCGTTCACCACTCTGCACGGTCGTCAACGACGAGGAAGACGACGAGCAGCACATCGACGAGTCGCCGTGCACGCTGCTGAATGTGGCGCCTACACTTGGTGAGCCTGGGCCGCCAGCGATCCCGTCGCGACCATGGCGCGGCCACCCCTCCACACAGCGACTGACGAACGGCGGCAGCGCAGCAGCAGGGATGCCCGAGAACACCGTGGCGCCGCAGGTGCACCTCGGGAAAGGAGAGTCCACCACGGGATACGCCGAGCGCTCTGCCAGAGTGTAGTTGGCCTCCTCGAAACACGGAATCTGCTCCTGAACGACGGGCGAGAACTCTGGAGCGTCGGCCCGCAACGCCGAAGGCGCGGCGGCGGACACGGAGCCGCCCAGAGCACAGCCAGCATGAGCCGAGCCACGCTCCGAGGCATCGACGGGACCCATCTCCTCCTCCTGGACGGGGAAGGTGCTGTCGACGACGTCCTCGAACGCGCAGCTGACCTGCGCCACCGGTGCCGGAAGGCGATCATCATGCAGTGCTTCCCAGCGCCCAGCACTAGGAAGAAATTCAGGAACACCAGCAGCAGGAGAGCTTCCAGCGCCGAGCCGTGGACCGCGCGCGGCTGCCCGCCACTGCGCCGCCCCAGCCCCGTCCGCGGGAAGGTCCCGTGCGTGCTGGGAGCAGTTCCTGATGAGCACGTCGCCATGAGCTGTTCGCGAACCAAGGATCCTAGAGACGATCACCCCCCGCGACAACCGCTCGCGCCTGTCGACATCCTCCGCCAGGGACACGAGCGCGGTGCCGCGACAGGGCGGGTCTCCACGGCCGCGCAGGGCTCTCCAGAGCCCGCGCTCGCAGGCATCGCGGGCACGGCGCCGAGCCAGCCTGCGGTCCCGCGAGGAACGCCACGGGCAGTTTCCTGCAGCCGCCCCCCGAGCCATCATGCGGAGCGCGCGGAGCGAAGGGCGCCCGATAGGTTTTCGCCAGAGGGCCACCCTTGAACCAGCGCGCGCCAGGCATGAGCCAAAATGGCTACGGAGGGATTGGAGCCACAGGAGAAAGGCAATCTATAGGAACACACGTAAAACACAAAAAGCTCGTGCCCCTGGTGAGACCCAATATATAGGAACATACGTAAACCACTTAGGATTGTACACGCAGGAGAAGGACAATGTATAGAAACATAGGTCTAACATTAAGGATTCGCGCGCTCCAGGTGAGGCCCAATCTATAGGAGCATACGTAAAACACATGGGATTGGAGCCACTCCTGTTGCCTTCTGAGGCCTCCTGCTCCTGGGGCCTCTCGGGGCCTCCTCTTGCCTTCCAGGGCCTCCTGGCGCTTCATGTCGCCTCCCGGGGCCTCCTATGGCTTCCTGAGGCCTCCTGGAGCTTCCTGGGGCATCCTGGAGCCTCTTGGGACATCCTGTGGCCTCTCGAGTCTTCCTGTGGCCTCCTGATGCCTCCTGGGACCTGATGCCTCCTGGGACCTCATGTGGCCTCCTGGGGCCTCCTGGAGCCTGCTGGAGCCTCCTGTGGCATCCTAGGGAGAATATATGATCTATGCCCACGAGTCTGGCCACCAAAACAGGCAAACCGATCGAGACATCCTCAACATCTGGCCCCCCTGGGGGGCGAACATGCAAACAAGCAAGCCGCTCGAGGCATCCCCACCATTTGGGCGCGAACGGAGGCCCCCCCCCTTAGTAGGCGCCTCGGACGAGACATCCTCAAAATCTGCTCCGAAAACGGAGGATGTTGAGCATGCAAACAGGCAAACCGCTCGAAACATTCCCGCCATTTGGGCGCGAACGGAGGCCGTGCAATACCCCTGGCCGCCCCCACTTAGGAGTGCAAAAAAACAGCAAGCCGCTCGAAACGTCCTCATCATCTGCTCATCGTCATCGTCATCGTCATCGTCATCGTCATCATCATCATCATCATCATCATCATCATCATCAGCAGCAGCAGCAGCAGCATAATCACCATCATCACCAACATCAACAATTACTCACTGCGTGGAGCTCACCATATGTGCATCTCATGTTTTATGTCATGCAATAGTGAGCGTCTGTTCATGAGCGTTTGACTATAATAGCGCGTCCACGTGGGCGACAGGCCCGACGAAGACGAGTGAATCCTAATGCGAGTGAGTGAGTAGATTGCGGTCTTCGCTGGAGCACCCCCTCCTGACGGACGAACGGACGAACAGACAGACGGACGAGACAGGACCGCACTCCCAAAAGGAGCACCGGCGCGTGAGAAAACCGCCCGCCCCACCAGAGCGCGAGGGCGCATGAGAGACACCGCCAGCTCCCACAGAGCGCCAGGATAGCGCGCGCCGCGCCCAGGGCTCCCCGTCCAGAGCGAGATAAGGGAGCATCAGATAAGGAATCCACGGCCTGGAAGCCGGCGGAGTTCCAGTTGTGGATTGGCCGTGGGTATCCTAGACGCTCTCATCGGACAAGGAAACTTCCAGGGTCCGCGCCCAGAGCTCCCCGTCCAAAAGGAGAGCAAACCGCGCCTGAGACATCCCCACAAGCTGGCCGCGAACGGGCCCGTGAAAACACCCCTGGCGGCTCCCCCTAGGGGTGCTGAAACCAGCGCCTCGCCTGAGACATCCTCACAAACTGCTCTAAACGCAAACGAGTCTGCCCACCAACACAGTCAAACCGCCTGAGACATCCCCACAAACTGGCCGCGAACGGGCCCGTGAAAACACCCCTGGCGGCTCCCCTTAGGGGTGCTGACTCCAGCGCCACGTCTGAAACATACTCCGAATATTATGTATGAATAGGTTTGAGAATGAGTAGGTCTGAGTATGAGTAAGTCTGTGTATGAGTAAGTTTGTGTATGAGTACGTATGTGTAAAGGTAAGTATGGGTATGAGAAGATCTGTGTATGAGTGAATATGTGTATGTGTTCGTCTGGGTATGAGTAAGTATGAGTATGAGTAGGTATGAGTACGAGTATGTCTGAGTATGAGTAAGTCTGTGTATGAGTAAGTCTGGGTATGAGTAAGTCTGAGTATGAGTAAGTCCGAGAGGAGGGGAGGAAAAGAAGAGGGAGTATGATGCGTCCAAGTAATAGCAATAACCCCATCTTAGGAGATGGGAACATCATCACCATCACCATACCCATCCATCATTCACCATCACCATCATACTCACATCATACTCTCACCACAACCAGCATCATCATCACCATCACCATCACCAGCATCATCATCATCACCATCATCATCAGCATCATCATATCAGCATCATCATCAACATCAGCATCAACATCATCACCATCATCATCATCAGCATCATCATCATCATAATCATCGTGACGCTATCCCTGGCCAGGAGACTTTAGGAGACTTTTTGCGTCTCAGGCCAGGCAGGTCCAGCAGGACAGGCCGGCACACACGGGCAGAGCTCGGCAGGAAACGAACGAGAGAGGAGGACGAGCGGACGACACAGACACACCACGGCACCACAAACCACAAACAACACAACACAAACGAACGAGGAGGAGAGAGAGAGAGAAGACCCCTAGACACCCCGAGCAGGATTCTGGCATTTGCCGCATTATGAAATAATTTGTCGGAGACGGACTAAACGATTTGAGTCGACACTCCGCTTCAGAGCCTGGGCAAAGCAGACACAGAACCGAGAGGGATAAGGCTCAGCAGCGCGAGTCCACAGTTTGCCCGGGCTCTGATCGACACCTGTTAAAACAATGTGTGGCTTGGACGAATGACTGCATATGCCACTACGACCATGACAAAGAGCGGGAAGTTGGACAGTGAAGCTGGGAGCCCAGATCTGCACCCTGGTCCTCTTACGCCAACGAGCCCCGAACCCGCAGTAGTCTACGGCGCAGGCCTGGCTCGTCGAGTGACGGGCCAGGCGCTCGAGCGGGGGGGCCTTCCACAACAAGCTGGACCCAGGATTCCCGAGCGCAACGGGAGTGCCCACACGAAGGCAGCCTCGAGCCACCCGAAGACTAGAACGCAACTGGTCGTTCCCACGTTTGCACGCTTCCGAGGCCCTGGTGTCCAGATTAAGGAGGCCCCAGACGTGCTCGGCACTACGCAGTCTACACCAACTGGAGCCGGGTGGCCGGCGGCGGGCCTGGGACCGGGCGCAGCAAGGCGCCCCCATCCAAACCGCTGAAACCACATTGCTCGAAATCCATCCCAAGAGGGTCGTCTAAATGACCCTTCGATTCAAATCGAACCAGGGCTGTTTCAAAATGTCAACTGAAATCGTCGCAAGCCCCTGGGCGCGCATGGCCCTGGACATGCCCGCGGATCCCGCAAAAAGTTCCAAAAAGACCTGGCTGTGGCGACTACTTGCTGAACCTAGGGCGCGCCGCAAAATGCGGCGAAGGCGAAGCCTTCTCTCATGATCCGTCAGCGCAGCCGCGCCAGGAAGGGCGCCGGTGGCAGCACCGCGCCGCCCAACACGATGCTGGAGAGGTTGCTCCCCATGGCGCTGCCGAAGTCCTGCGCCGCCTGTGGAACCTTGTGCAGCTCCGCCAACGCGCGGGCCTCCTTGTCGCAGCGTTTCATCATGGCGTCGCTTCGCCAGCGGCCGCGCGCCTTGACCTCCAGCGGGCTCCGCCGCTTTGCCGGCAGGTCGTGCGGGGCGCCGCCGCGCCGCAACCCGTAGGCCGCGATCCCCATCGTGGCCGCGCCGAG